CTGCCTTCCACCCTGGCCATGCTGCCTTCCACCCTGACACCCTGCCTTCCACCCTGACCACCCTGCCTTCTACCCTGACCACCCTGCCTTCCACCCTGACCACCCTGCCTTCCACCCTGACCACCCTGCCTTCCACCCTGACCACTGCCTTCCACGTGGGGACGGCCCATATGTGTGCATGTGTGTGTGTGCCCTCCCCTGGTGTGCACAGGTGCACACACACACACACACACCTGTCCCCTGTGAGTGTGTAACCCTTCCTGCACAGCTCTCCCCCTGTGTGCAGTGAGCACTGGCGTTTCCCTCTGCTCACCCGTGTGTGCGCTCCCTTCCCCGGCACACACGGGCGCGTGTCTGTGCCTTTCCCTCGTGTGCCAGGGGAGGGTGCACACCTGTGTGTGTGTGTGCACGTCCTTACCCCGTGTTTTTACCCTTCTCCGGGGTGCGTGGACATGAGTGCTCACCCGTGCCTGGTACCTGTGTGATCACCGTTCCCCACGTGTGATCCCTCCTCCAGATTCTCCCCTTCCCCTTGCCTAGGGAGCGCAGCCTCTCCCCTGCTCTGCCCACCCTCTCAGGCACGTCCTGCACTCCAAGCAGCCTCTCTGCCCCGCAGGTCCCATGGCCCTGATGCCAAGATCCTGGAGCAGGGCCCGGGCCAGCCCCGGGGGCCGCTGGCGCTGGGCCACATGCTGCACATCGCCACGCAGATCGCCTCGGGCATGGTCTACCTCGCCTCCCTCCACTTCGTCCACCGGGACTTGGCCACCCGCAACTGCCTGGTGGGCCATGACCTGGTGGTGAAGATCGGGGATTTTGGCATGTCCCGGGACATCTACAGCACTGACTATTACCGGGTGAGCTGTTCCCTCTCTCCTCTCTGCTCGCTGCTGGGAGGCCACGCTCCATTTTCCCTCATGGCTGCTGCCTCCCACCCCTTCTCCATCCATATTTAACCACAGAATGGGTTGGGTTGGAGAGGATGTTTGGAAGCCATCCAGCTCAACCTGCAGGGATGCTTTCCAACGGAACAGGTTGCTTGCTCCAAACCCTGACCTTGAATATCTCCAGGGATGGGGCAGCCACAGCTTCTCTGGGCAACCTGTGCCAGGGCATCACCACCCTCAGAGTAAAATATTTCTTCCTTACGTCTTACCTGGGCCTTAATGAGTGGGGCCAGGACTGGGGGAAGGGAAACGGGAGGGTCCCTGCCTTGCTGACAGCCCTGCTCTGGGCAGGTGGGGGGCAGGACCATGCTGCCCATCCGCTGGATGCCTCCCGAGAGCATCCTGTATCGTAAATTCACCACCGAGAGCGATATCTGGAGCTTCGGCGTGGTGCTCTGGGAGATCTTCACCTACGGGAAGCAGCCCTGGTACCAACTCTCCAACACTGAGGTGAGCGAGGAGGGGAAGGAGGATGGTAACAGCCCCCCAGGGGTCCCCCAGAGTGGGGGGTCCCATCTCCATCCCTGTTCCTGCAGGCCATCGAGTGCATCACGCAGGGGCGGGAGCTGGAGCGGCCCCGCACATGTCCCTCCGAGGTGTACTCCATCATGCAGAGCTGCTGGCACCGGGAGCCCCAGCAGCGCCAGCCCATCAAGGAGATCCACAGCCGCCTCCAGGCCCTCGTCAAGACGCCCCCCGTCTACCTGGACATCCTGGGCTGAGTGGGGACCCCCACCCAGCCTCTGCTCCCCGCTGTTCCCCTGCCCGCCCTGCTGCCCAGGGGCACAGCTCTGCCCCACACAGCCCTGGACTGATGCCCCAAGGCAGGAGAAGCCTGAAACCTTATTTATAGTGCAAAATGCCAGCCCAGTCCTGGGGGCTGGGGGACCCCCAGGGCTGTGGCCCCCGGTTTGTGGCCCTGCTGTCTGGCTCCTTGGCATTCCCACAGCGCTGGGATGGAGGCTCTTGGCTGATGTGGGTTGGCTCAGGGGGGGCAGAGCTGGGTGACCCCAGCCCAGGGCCCGTGCCAGTGCAGGAGCTGGGGGGCTCAGCTCTCCCAGGGGAGTTGGGATGCCCCATGCTCGCCCACTCTGCAGCAAAACCAGTCACTAATAAACTGTGTCTCCCCTGCACTGGCCCCTGTGTGCTCCGGGCTGGCAGCTGGGATGGGGGTTCTGGGGAGAAAGAGGGGCTTTTCACATCAGGGAAGCTTCCTTGTCTGGAGGAGAGGAGCTGGAGGGGAGGTGCTGTCCCAGGGCTCCCAGGGTGTGGGACCAGGTCACAGGTGCCCGGGATGCTGTGTTTTGTACCCAGAGCCCGGGGCAGGGATGGTGTCCTTATCCCCAGCCCAGAAAGGGATGGTTTTGGCTGTGCCGAGGACTACCTTGGACAGGGATTCCTGTGCCACGCCCTGGCCTGGGGAGCCTGAGTATCCTCGCCGAAGGTCCAGGTGGAGAATGAGGCTTTGCAGCACAAAGCCAACACCCATCCCCCAGAAAGAGTGACATCCCCCCTTCCCTGTGTCCTCTCATCGGAACCTGGGGGTTATCACATACCCTGTAGCATCCACTCCATCATCCTTCCTCAGGCTCTCCAGCCGCCTTGGTAATGGTTGAGACCTGGATTTGACCATAATGGAGCTGAATTGATTTCATCTGGATAATTAGGCAGCACAGGCAGAGCCCTGGCAGCTCCTTTGTTACCCCCTGTGACCCAAGATAAGCAGGAGGAAAGTGAGGTCGCAGGGGAAACTGAGGCATGGCAAAAGGTGGGAGTAGTCAGGGGGTCTGTGGTGGGTGCTGAGGGGCTTGGGGCTGGCACAGCACCTGGCGAGGTGTGGCACAACGAAATTGGAGGAAATGAGGTGAGCACGCCGCAGCTCCCAGCCTGTAACGCATCCCAAAGCCCTGCAGTGGGGTCAGACCCCTCTGGCTGGCCCTGGATCTTTGCCGAGGGTCCGGGCTCGGAGCTGCCATGGGCAGGGTCCGGCTCTGCTGGAGCTCAGCCTGGCTGGCAGAGCCCCCCACCTGCTTCCTTGGGGTCTCTGATCGCTGCCCACGCTGATTTATGGCCTTTTTCCCTCTTATCTAATTTGAGGAAGGAACTAGATTACAACCTTGAGCTTTTCCAGCCCCTTGCTGGAGATTGCCTCGGACCAAAGCCCCAAAAGAGACGGCGTGTAGTGGTGACACCCCCTCTCCAAGAGCTTTCCTGCATCTGTGCCTCAGATACTTCCATGGTGGGTGGG